AGACTCCTACAAGGACAGCACCCTCATCATGCAGCTGCTCAGGGACAACCTCACGCTATGGACAGCCGAGTGCGCCGGGGAAGACGGCGGCGAGGCTGGAGAAGAGCCCAAGAACTGAAAGGCCCCCGCCGAGCTGGGGACAGGCCCCCACCTGCCCCCCCTCCAGTCCCTTCGGCATCTCTTCGTGGCTTTTTCTTTGTTGGTTTTTTTTTCCTTTTTTTTTTTTTTTTTTTTTTTTTTTTTTTTTTTTTTTTTTTTTTTTTTTTTTTTTTTGTTGTTGTCGTTGTTGTTGTTGGTTTTTTGGAGGGGGAAGGAGTCTCAACTCCTCCACGGCCCCCCTCCCCCTCGCCAAGCCTGGATGCCGGGAGTGGGGGTGGTTTTGGCGTGGCCTCCCTCCTCCCTCTCCCTCATCCTCTGCTCTGGGGAGGGGGAAAGGAGGGAGAGAGGGTGCCTCCGTTCTGGAGGGCTGCCAGCCCCCCTGCTATTTAACAATTTTTGGGGAGGGGGTGTCCAGCCTGGCATGTGCCAGCTTCAAACCCCCTGTCCCGAAGGGCTGGAGCAGCAACAGGAGGAGGTGAGGGGCCGGGATGGCGCAAGGGGGGGTCCGGGCAGCTCCCTCCCATTCTGGGAGGGGGGTCTCATGTTGCCAAAGCCTCTGTGGGTCTCCAATAAACCGTCTCCTGCACTCCTGCCTCTAGTCTGCCTCGTCTCTCCCTGCACACGTGTCCAGGCAGCTCCCGCTGCCGCCGGGCATCCACCTCCCCTCCCATCCCACCAGGGTGGGGGAGCAGTCGGGTGGGCCTCCAAAATCGGCTGCTCTTGATCCCCCACCCAGCCCCACAATGGGGTCTTGGGGTACCCAGCAAACCCCATTCCTTGGCAAGCCTTGGAAAGGCTTGGGGGGGTCTCTGCATCCACCAGACAAGGGGTCTGCCAGCCCCACCCGGAGCTGGCTGCTCCAAGGGGTGCTCCGAGGTCCCTGACCCCGCAGTGGGATGTCCCACCCCCTTGGTACAAACCCCAAAGCCTGTCACTGACACCCCTGGGTGGGTCCTCCCCCACCGGCTCCTCTAAGTTCCGAGGAGGAAGATCCACAAACAGCCACATCGTCAGCGACACCGGGGACAGCCCTGGGGTGTCACAAGGGTGGGGACGTCCCCGTCAAGGTCCAGACGTGCTGGGGCAGGTGAAAGCTCAGCAATCCTGGCCCTGGCACGAGGCCACGGCAGAGGGCGCAGCTCCCCCCCCCTTCCCCCGCCGACAGCACGTTCCAACATGAAAAATAATTACAATAAAATACAGTCACGGCACCCTGGGCTATGAGCTCATCAGATCCAGCAGGGCTGGGCAGGAGCCGGCCTTTGATGGGAAGCACCGGGATGCCGGGATGCCGGGAGGAAACGCGCCGTGACTCGGGTTCAGAGGGAGCCCCGAAGTGGGGACGTGGGGGACATGGCCAAAGCACAGCTCAGAGGGTGCCAGGAGCCCCTGGGCATGGGGGAAACTGAGGCATGGCCAGAGAAGTGACCAGGGAAGACACCCCAGGGAAGTGAAGGAATTATGGGGTGTCCAGGGAGCAAGGGACCGGCCTGAGATGTAATGAGTTTTGCCAGGGCTCTGCCATGGGAAAGCACTGGCTGCTGTGGGAGGTTGGGCTGCTCAAAGCAGAACCTGCTCGCCCTGGATGGGACATTTCACCTGGAGCAGAGACCAGCAGAGGGGATTAAGCCCTGTGAGCCCCCCCACACCTTGCCCACCCCCTAGTCCCCTCCCCAACCCCACTGTGACCCCCCGTGGTTTGGTGTCACCTTGGCCCCTCCAAGGGCCGCCTCAGTGGCCCCGGCAGGTCCCGTTTTCTCCCCAGGTCCCGGCTGAGCTGGGGGGACCCTGGCACTGTCGGGGCTGGTCCGGGTGGGGGAGGCGAGTGAGGGGCCCCAACACTCCCAGCCCCAAGTGCTCCCAGGCTGGGAACCAGCCCCAGACCTGTAATTATCCAAACCGGGGCAGCCGACGGGAAAAACGAGCCGAGGGCTCGTGCTGGCCCTTGACCCGCCGGCCTGGGGACACCAGCAGCCCGGACTGGTTAGACTGGAGCACGGCAAGGTGGGAGCTGGGGGGTGCTGGTGCTTGAGAAGGGGATTAACTGGGGGTTTATGTCCATCCCCGCTGCTTTTCGGGGCCACGGGTTCCCGCTGGCTTCCCAGGAGTTAACTGATTTCAACAGCTCCCGAAATTGCAGCGTGGCTGGGCCGTGTAGGAGGAGGATGCTCGTCGGCTCCCAGCCGGTCCAGCAGCTTTTCCAGGCTGGGAGGGAGGCCCTGGATCCTCAGGACAGCTCCCATGAAAGGTTTGTGCTGCTGGGGAGAGCGGAGTGTTCCCTGGGGTCCTCCTGGGCCCCCCTGTTTCATGCAAGGTGATGGGACCCAGATGGAAAAAGCAAGGGAGACGTTGGAACCCCAATCTCTGTCCCTGTCCCGTGGCTGTGGAATGCTCTCGGCATCCCTGACACCGTGCAAGGAGGGGCACCCAGAAAAGCTTTCAAATATATGAGTTTTAGTGTCTTTACCACCAGTAGAGCAAAGGGTCATGGGGCCAGGGAGTGTCCCCCACCCTCCCAGCAGGGTCCTGGCACAGCCCCATACACAGGGGCCAGTAGTCATGGGGAAAAGAACATCAAAGCAGGATTCTGAGGGCATGTGGGGGATGCTACCCCAGCCCTGCCACCTGCAAAGGCTCTGCCCATCCTGAGTGGGGACTGCAGGACCCACAGCCAGGCCTGTCCTTGTCCCCAGCTCTCCCAACCTCCCCACAGGGCTTTGTGCCCGAGGCCGGGGCTGGCTGGCTCCTGGCTGAGCCACCTCCCTGATGACCATCACCCTGGCCTCAGGGCAGTGATGGGCAGCCTCCTGCCAGGCTGACACCAGATGCCTGCTCTGGAGGCTTTGGGATTTTTGGTGAGGCTTTTTATCCCCCCCCCCAGAAAGCACCGCTCGATGGGGAAATTCAGTCTCTGAGCAGGAACCCCATAACGGAGCCAGGACTGGGGCTGGAAGATGGAGGGAGGGGACACAGCAAACCCCAGTTTGGTGGCTGTGATTGAAACCCAAACCCCTTCATCCCAAAAAATCACACTCTGCCAACCCACCACGGTCAGGGTGGGCTCAGCCTGTCCCAGCACCAGGCTTGGAGGGGCCGGGGCAGGTAGGACCAACTCAGCAGAAAGATGGGTACCCCCCCACCATGCCAGGGTTGTGCCTCAGTTGGGGTGACTAATCCCGGCCCTTGGCCCCAGCCAGTTGCTCAACGGGAGCGACAGGAGCCAAAGTGTCACCTCCCTGAGCCCCGGGAGCCTCCCAGTGTCTGTCCCCTCCCAGTGTGGGGACATGTGGATGCAGGACCTGGCTGGATTTCACACCAGGGTCTCCAGCCTTCCCTGTCTCCTGCTGAGCCATCCTCCATGCCACCCTGACCAGGAGCAGTCCCCACTGGGCTGTGGGTCTCAATTCAGCCCCCAATTCAGCTGTAAAAAGCTCTTTAATGCAAAAATGCTGCATTTTTTGAGGCTGCAGAGCTCTTCTAGACCTCAGCACTTAGAGGACACAACGGAGGTTCCCTGAGCTGAGTGGTTTCCATCTCCTTTGATTCCCATTTTCTCCAGCATTGTCAAGGCTGAGTCTGCAGATATCCAGGGTATTCAAATAAAAAAAAAAACAAAAAAGCCACAAAAGCTTTGATGGCTCTTGTGTAACACGGCCTGACCTGACCATACCCTTTTAAGCCACCAAATCTCTCAAAGCCATGGAAAAGCCACCATAAAATTAATATTTTTATGATCACGTCTCCCATCCCTTCACAGAGTTCCAAAGGACCAGGATAAGGCCACAAGCCACAGGGTGAGGATGGAATTTCAGCTCAGTTATGGTTACATTGGCTTCCAGACCTTCAGCACCGAAATGCTGGGTTCCAGCCAGGAATACCCAGGGAAGTCTCTGGGCTCTTGAGAAGAGCTGAGGCACCAGCAGCAGACAGGGATTTGACTTTAATATGTGAAATATCAGTGCAGTGTTTCATTGGGAATGGGTCTGCTTAAAGCACAAACGTGTGTCTTCACCCTCCTCCCCCTGAGCTCTTCCTTTTCTCCAAATCCTGACCAAAAAGCTGGGAGATGCAGGAAAAATGAATTTTAATTCCCTGCCCAGCTGCCCAAGACCCCATTTACATCGAGATCCATTGAAGATCCAGTCTGCAATCCCTCTGCCAAGGGCAAAACCATCCTGGGAAAAAAGTCTTGTTGTATTTTATGCAAGATCTTGGGCAAGAGGCAATGCTGAGTCTGCACATGGAGCTGGGATCGGGAGTGTCACCCGCTCCCATCCCATATGGAGCTGCCAGGAGGCACTTGGAGGCTCCTTGGTGTGGACACCTCACTTTTCACCCCCCAGCCCTCCAGATCCATCTCCCAACTGCTGCCTGCAGCAGGAATCAGGGCAGGTGGTACAAAAGGCTGGGAGCTGCTGCCGTCACCATTGGGAGCTACAGCAGGACAGCAAGAGGGAATTACATGGGAAGGAGGGGAAGCCCCAGGATTTGGGATGTGAAGAAAGCAAGCCCAGAAAAAAACAAGGTGGATGAGGACACATAAGGCAGCTGGGAAAGGCCCTACATGCAAACCATGAGCTGAGTCACACAGGGGCTTTCTTAATCAAAAGCCTCCAAGAGCCGAGCTGGCAGTTTGTGCTCCGTGCGCCCCAACCTCCAGCCTCTGGATCACTCCTGGATCACCAGGAGTGACCTGCTTTCCTGTCCCACAGTCCTCACTCCCTCCAGCAAACGCTGAGCCTGTTCTCAGGCAGATCAGAGAGGAGCAGGACACGGCCAACACACGGAGCTGCCGCGCACACAACGCGCCCGCTGCCGCGACGTTCCCACCGGAGGCTCTTTAGCCTCGGGCTCTGGAGCTCTCTTGGGTTTATTTATTCAGGTTCAGCAAACTCCCAAGATGAAAGTGAGGCGAAGGAGTTCTTTTATTAAGAAAGAGTCCATCATTATTTCCAAGAAAAAGAAAAACAAACATCTTTCTCTCCTTGAGACGGAGCGGAGGCGTCTCCGCCTGGATGCTCCCCGGAGCACGAGGCCCGTGCACGTTCCTCCTGCAGCAAACCCAGAACTCGTGTCTCAAGTCCCTCTGAAGATGAGGCAGCTCCAACTGATTTTTCTTTCTCTGGATCTGTCTTGGTCATGATGGGGAAGAGGAGACTTTATCTCTCTTCTTTTCCTTGCTTTTCCTTCTCCAGCTCAGTCTCTCTGTTCCTAAGGAAAGACCCGGCTCATCCCACCTTCAGCCATCTCCTTTCTCCCAAATTTCTGCTCTGTGCAGCAAGGCAGAAGCCTGGGAAGTCAAACCCACCCAGAGAGGGAGTCCAGCAGCCAGACTATGTCTGGAAGGGCTTTCACTTGCTCTGAGTCACAGCTTAAGCTCCTGGTAGGAAAAAAGGAGAGGTGTCAAAACAGAGGAGCCATGGAAGGGTGTGTCACAGATCCATCACCTCTTCTTCCACGGCTTTGTCCTGAGATTGCACATACTTCTCCTGCACTGCAAGGGTGCTGATAACGCAGTAATTAAGGAAAACAAGGGGCTGGGCTCAAACACTCCCTTCTGCAAGGAGCTCTGAACGTTCTCAGTGAGGAACCAGCCCCACATTAGCCCCAAGGCTGGCAGGAAGATGCAGGGCTGGCAGCAGCAGGAATCACCTGAGTTATTTCTGGCTCTGCCTGATCCCAGACCTGACAAGTACAGGGGAATCAATTGTATGATTTGGAAGACAGGGAATGAACCCATCCAAGGGAGTGTGAGAGAGGGGAAAGCTGTGAAAAGATTCCTGACACATTCCCAGGATCGATTAGCAACAACTGTGGTGGGTTTGGGGTGGACAAGTGTCTGCCACGGGCTGGGCTCAGCATGACCCACTCCCTACACGTGTATCACCCACCAGGAGACATTACAAACAACTTGGGCCTGCAAATTCCAGCCTCTCTCCCCCAGGGAAGGAGAAATTAAACTCAGCACCAGAGAGGATACGAAGAGAAGTGGAAATCAGCTCCCACTGCTGCCGACATCAGAGCTTCCAGGCTCCTGTGCTCCTGGTCTCCGAAGGAGTAGCCGTTGGCTTTGTCCACTGCCTGCATCACCTGCTGCATGCTCTCCTTGTCCTGGAAGGGAGTGACATGGCACACTGGGAATCTGGGCCTTTCCCAGAGGCATGAGCTCATGGTGGGCTTTACATGGGTTTTCTCCAAGCCTCTGGGCCACCCACACAGGCCCCGGGGACACTGGCAGAGCCCCCGAGCCCTGGGGACATGGGACAAACAGGGACACCCGTGGTACAGGCCAGGCTGACACCTCCACCCTCTCCCTCCTTTCATCACCTTGTCCCAGCCCATTTGCCTCTGTTGACACTTCTGCCAACTCCCTGATTAACCACCACATTTCCAGCCCTTCCTCCCCAATTTATTCCTCCCAATCTTCTAATTATTCGGTGCTCCCTAATTTGACGACGTTCTAGGTAATACTTTGCCCAGGTTTGAAATGCAGGTGCAGAAGGGCTGGAAGAAGGGGGAGCCTGAACTCCCCACCCCAAGACACAAGGCCCAGGTAGCCCCAAGCTCATCAGCCTTTCCTCTTCCTTTGGCTGCCACGGATCATTTACAAGTCTGGGTGTGTTTCCCTGTTTTCCATCCCTGAGTCTCTTCACAGCTGAGGCTTTCAGCCCTCGTGGCTCTGAGCAGACACAAACAAGGTGCTACACATCCAGCCACACATCCAAGGCTCCCTGTTCCCTCCTGCTGCATCACCTGGACGTTGAGGGGGACAAAGGACACCAGGCTGTAGTCCTCAACCACCTCCACCAGCTTCTCGTTGAGGCGGCGGTAATTCCTGAAGAAGGGATCGGAGGCCAAATGATCAACCAGGTAAGAGAGATCCAGGACCTCGGTGTAATAATCCAGGTTGAAAGCTGCAGGGAAACAAGGCAATTTTTAAGTGGAAGAGCACAAGTTTCCCCACCATCACTGAGGTTTACACCAGTTTCCTCAGCCACTCCCATTCCCAAACAGACAATCTGCACCTGGTCAATCCACATCCCTCAAATTCCTGGAAGTGTCCAAGGCCAGGTTGGATGGAGCTCTGAGCAACCTGGTCTAGTGGAAGGTGTCCCTGACCATGGCTTTAAGGGTATGAGCTCTAAGGTCCCTTCCAACCCCAAACCATCCCGTGATTCCATGGAATTCTCTTACCCAGCTTCCCGTACTGCTCGATCAGGTCCATCTTGGAGAGGATGTTGACGTGGGGCAGCTCCACGTGCAGCATGGTGGAGAGGGAGGTGCAGAGCACAGAGATGAACTTCCCAGGGTCTGTGCAGTAGTGGGAATCCACCAGATGCACTGCAGCCAGCTGGGAAGCAAAGGCACAAAGGGGCACAAAGGTCAGACCCGTGACAAAACCATCCACTTGCTTTAGGGACGGTCAGGGAGTGGCAACAGGACAATCTGTTCAGACCTGACTGCACCACGTAGGGAAAGCTACCACCTACTTTCTACCTCCTGCACAGGAAAACCAGAATCAGAGAACCATGGAAGGGTTTGGGTTGGAAGGAACCTTAAAGCTCCTCTCATTCCAATGCAGGGACATCTTCCACCAGCCCAGGTTGCTCCAAGCCCCGTCCAAACTGGCCTTGGACATTTCCAGGGATGGGGCAGCCACAGTTTCTCTGGGCAACCATCTCCCTCACAGCCAAGAATTCCTCCCCAATATCCCATCTAACCCTGCCCTCTGGCACTGGGAAGTCATTCCCACTTTTCCTGTCACTCCAGGCCCTTGTCCGAAGTCCCTCTTCAGCTCTCCTGGAGCCCCTTTAGGCACTGGAAGGGGCTCCAAGGTCTCCCCAGAGCCTTCTCTTCTCCAGGCTGAACATATTCATAAATCCACATATATAAAAGTGTATATTGTCCCATTCCCACCCAAGGACCACCACGGATTCAGGACCCAGGGAAGGGTTGTCAGGAGGCTTTATGGGGTGCTGAGCTCCACCACCAACACCCAAACCTGCAGCTGCTTTCCCTTTCCCCAGGGTTTCTCTCTTTGCAGTTGAAGTTTCCCCACTTGCCTGAACTCTGCAGAATTTTTGGGGTAACAGCTGGGTTTAATTCTCCTACTGAACAGCACAACTGCCTCCAGATTTCCACCTTCCCCACAGGACTGCTCAGGCCATGGCACACTCAGGAGCAGTAACTGTAGCATGCCACGTTCTGCTGGGAGAGCCAACTGCGGTCTGCACTAATAATTAATAATTACACTAATGAACAGTTCGATTCCCTGTGTTTTGTGCTGCTGTAACAATGTGGTCCCAGACCTCTGGAAGTCACTCCAAGCCAGGGCTCTGAGGCTGAGCGTGGCTGAGTCACAGCAGAGCTTCTGCAGCAAAAACCAGGTGTGAGCACCCGGGAGAGCAGCAAAACAGCAGCACAAATGTCTTATTTTAGCAACCCCAATTTCACATCCATTTATTCCAATGAAAATAACCTCTAATGTGCAGATTCCCAGTGACATTCTCAGGCAAATGAACCTGCCCTTCTTGCTCTCACACTGCACAGGGTTTGCACATTCATGGTTTGGCCCCGATGCAAAGCAAACGCCGCGTCAGCAGGTTCCCTGGGCTGTGGGACTGTTCTCACCTGCACGGCCTCATCTGCATCTCCCATTGTGCAAGGAGGCCCAGAGCACGTCCCACGGGGTGCAGGCAGGGCAGGCAGGACCTGGGATGTCACCTGGGTTCCTCACAGGGCAGGGCAAAAAGGGTCCCAGCACACATCGACCTCCCTGCCTGGATAAAACACATACACTGTGGGGATGACCCTGGAGCACAGCAAGTGCTTGTCCCATCCCTGGAAGGGTCCAAGGCCAGGTTGGATGGGGCTTGGAGCAACCTGGGCTAGTGGAAGGTGTCCCTGCCCATGGCAGAGGGTGGAACTGGATGAGCTTTAAGGTCCCTTCCAACCCAAACCATTCTGTGATTCTGTAATAAGTGTGAGGAAAGAATCCATATTTCTGTCCATAATCCCACTGCATTAAAAGCCCTGACAAGCCACTGTTTTGCCAATCCTTTGGAGAATAAAATATGACAAAATTAGGACAAAATTCCCCTCCTTCCCTAATAAAGCCATTTCACAGGAAAGGCCAAAAAATTCCTGAAGAAAACAGCCATTAGTCCCCACGATGCCCATGGGATGTGAAGCCTCACATGGGCGCCAATCACCCACCCCAAACCCCCTGCAGAGCCCCGGAATTCCAAAAATACCCTGAAATTCCACTTGGTCAGGTGGGCGAAGACGTTCTTCAGGGAGTTGTGGTGCGTGTAGAGCTCCACCTGCCCGGGGCAGTCAAAGAGGACATAGTGTCCCTTGAGCCCTTCCAGCTTCTCCTGCAGCCAGTCCACGTTGGTCTCCAGGTACTCCATGCAGTAGAGGAGGCCCCCGTTGGGGCCCAGCCCGAGGCTGCCCATGACGTCGGGCAGGGTGATGAGCTGGCCGATGTCCAGCTCGCAGGGGCAGGGCAGCGCCTCGTTGGCAGGGTCCAGGTTCACCACGGACACCCTGCGCCCGATCTGCGTCAGGAATTCCCTCATGGCGTGGCAGTAGGTGGTTTTCCCGGAGCCTGGTGGCCCGATGACCACCTGGCCGAAGGCCACCGAGTGGCCCCTGCTGCCCTCAGACATGGTGGGTCATGTCCTTCTCCTGCTGCTGCTGCTGGCTGGGAGAGGGGAAAAAAATCCCATTTACTGCTTAATCTGCGTTTGTAGGGATGGGATCCGCTGGGATTCCCACCCAGGCAGAGGGTGGATGTTACAGCTGCCTTCTGTCACTTGCTCTGAGCCCCACACTGGGGTGGATGACACCCTGGTGCCCCCCACTCTGAAAACGACACTGGCCCTTTATCCCCACATCCCCCTTTATCCTCTTCACCCCCTGTGCCCCCGTGTTTCCCTTTCCCCCACGGGGCCCCTCTTCCCCCCTACGCCCCTCCCTCCCCTCACACCCCCTCTTCTCCCCCTCACCCCCGCTCCTTGCCCAGGCCCTTTCGCCCCTCATAACCCCTCCCCAACCCCGGTATCCCCCCCTCAATCCCGTTATTCCCTCCCCAACCCCGGTTTTTCCCGGTAGGCCGCTCACCGCCCGCCGGTGCCCCCCGCGCCGGGTCCGGGTGGCCGCGGCCCCAGAGCGCCGCGTTCCGGGTGCGGAGCGGCCGCCGCCCCCACAGCGCCCCCTGGCGGCCGGACGGACTCGAAGCCGGGACCCCGAATCGGGGTTTGGGGGTCGCGGGTTCGAGTCCCGGTCCCGGCAAAACCCCACCCCCGTGGTTTTTTTTTTCCCGAGAGAATCACAGAATCAGCTCGGTTGGAAAAGACCTCTGGGATCACCGAGTCAGACCTGTGACCAAACCTCACCATGGCACTAAGAGCCACGTCCAGTCTTTCCTTGAACACCTCCAGGGAATGGTGACTCCACCAGCTCCCTAAACAGCCCATTCCAAGATCTAATCACCCTTTCTGCAAGGAAATTCTTCTTAATGTCCAACCAAAACCTCCCCTGGTGCAGCTTAAGACTGCGTCCTCTCATCCTATCACTAGGTGCTGGGAGAAGAGGCCAACCCTCACCTGGCTACAACAGAAGGTAAAGGTGAAATTCCTCCCTGACACAGCAATATCCTTAAGGAAAGCACACGAGGCCTGGCCTTCACCCATTCCCACTTAACCCTGCAGCCCTGGGTCACTGTGCCGAAGGCTCTCCCCTCTCCAGAGTGCCTGTGTCAGGAAAACAGGGCAGAGCAGGTTGGGAAGCCGTGGAAGGAGCGCCCGCTACGCCCGCCCGGCCACGGGGGAAACGCCTCCCGCAGAATTCCTTGGAGGCTGCCAGGACAAGCCTTTCATCCCGGCGAGTTTCTCCCGGGAGTGTGGGATTGCCACGCCCAGGCAACGCGGAGCTGGGGCCAGCAGGGAGCTGTTGGCAGGACAGTTACGGTGCCACGGCCGGCCCTGCCTGTACTTGTCCTTCCCCGGGTCTCAGGCAGCCCTGGACTACGAGTTCTGGCTTTTTAGGCTCCCTGAGCACTCAGGTTTGCTTGATCTCAGCACTAATATCAGTTTTAAACCCCCACCCAGAAACGCAACCCCCGATTCCCACTGAACAAACAACACTATTTCCTCTCATCTGAACGGTTCAATTAGGAGGGAAGAAAAAACCCCTTGCTGAGGCAATTTTTATTACAAAATCTTTCTAAAATAAAACAAAAAATTTTCTAAAAATAAATTAAAAAAATATAAACACTCTGCTCCACCCCCGAGACCAGGAGCCAGCCTGGATTGGGGAGCAGATCCCAAGGCTGTGGCAGTCCCTGCTCAGTGGGACTGGGACCTGAGGCTGCCCAGGGCAGGGTGGCATGCCCGGACAAAGGCCATGTCCTGCCTGTACTTCATGGCAGTGGGGGGCTGGCGCCGGAGCAGCTGGTCCCCCATGTCCTGGGGCTCAGGGTCGTCGTAGATGGTGGAGATGAGGATGGGATTGTCCCTCCGGGGCTTCTTCCCCTTGAGGAAGGTTGGCAGCTTCTCCCCGTGGTACCTGGAGGGAAGCAGGAAAGGTTTGGTTGGGGGTTGGTGAGGCAGTCAGGCATCCCTGTGCTTCCCTGATCATTTCCTTCACATGATCATGGAATCAGGGAATGGTTTGGGTTGGAAGGGACATCTTCCACTAGACCAGGTTGCTCCAACCTGGTCTTGGACTCTTCCAGGGATGGGGCAGCCACAGCTTCTCTGAGCAACCTGTGACAGTGATGCAGGGAAGATATGGACCAATATGGATTCCTGTGCTATTCCTGGCTGCTCTAGAACAAGAGCCAGCCCTCATGGTCAAACACAGCACCCCACAAAGCCTCCAGAAACCCCACAGGGCAGGTAGGGGTGGGGACCCTCAATCCTTCCTCTGTGTCTCTGCTGCAGGACCCTGCACATGGTTCCAGTCCTGCTCTAACTCCACAGTCTCCACTAAGGAGCCCTGGACTGTCAGGAAGAGGAGTGTATTTAGCTCTGGAGAGCTGTGGCAGCCCCAGCTGTGCAGGGAAAGGCAGATTCCTGGGACAGCCTTCCAGTTCTGGTTCCCACTCTGCTCCAGCCACTCAGCTGGGAGTGCTGAGAGCCCAGGCAGAGCTCTGAGCACAGGCTGGCACTTGGGTACTTACCCCAGCCCCCTCTTGCATCTGGGGTTCTGACCCTCGTTATCCAGAGCTTCAGCCATCCCAGAGTTGCTGCTCCCCAGGCCCAGCCCCTCCGTCCAGCCCTGCTGCTCCAGCACCTTCCTGCCAAAGCCCTGGGAGGAGGGGAAAACATCACAGAGTTGCTGGACAAAGCCCAACCTCATCTTCCCAGAGCTTTCTGCCCCCTCCCCACATCCAAGGCCTCTCGTCCCCCTAATCCACATCCTCTGGGCACCATCACCACCCCAGCCCTTCCTGCCCTGCCCCTGAGCAGGTGTTCAGAGCTCACCTTGGTGTATCTCTCGAAGGTTCCAATCTGCTGCCCTGACACAGACCCCTCCTCCAACCCATCCCGGAGCCGCTGCTCCAGCCACATCTGCACCGAGTCCCGAGCATCCTTATCACCTCCATCTAGGGAGAAAGAAGCCAGAGTCAGGGCAGCACAGCTCAGGGGAGCTGTACAGCTCTGTCACTTCCCCCAGAGCACCAGGCAGAGGAGGCAGAACCTGTTCTTTTTGGCAACTCTCGCCGCCAGACCAGAAAAACACTGTTTCAAGTTCACTGACGTCTTGGACGCTTTCAAAGGATGACAGAGGCAAAGAGCTCCCCAGATTCTGCAGGGTCAGAATTTCCCAGCCTCCCTGGTCTCCCCAGGATGGGGGGGGGGAGGTTCAGCTCTGATACCTTTGTCATAGTAGATGCTCATGTCCACATCCCAGTCGTCCGCTGTCTGCTCGTCAAAGTCTGCCAAGAGAAGGAAAGCAGCAGTTTTGGTGAAGTCTGACACACAAGAGCTGTTTGCTGGTAGTCCAGCTCCCTATTTTCTCTAACAAAATGGGAAAGAATCACAGAATCATTAAGGTTGGAAAAGACCTCCAAAATCTTCAGGTCCACCCTGTGCCTAATTCCCACCTTGTCCCCCAGCCCAGAGCACTGAGTGCCATGTCCAGTCATTCCTTGGACACCTCCAGGGATGGGGATTCCACCACCTCCCTGGGCAGCCCCTTCCAATGTCTGACAGCCCTTTCAGTGAAGATATTTTCCCCAAAATCCAACATGAACCTCCCCTGGCACAACTGAAAGCCTTTTTCTCTCCTCCTGTCCCTCGTTCCCTGGGAGCAGAGCTTGACCCCCCCCCCCGGCTCCCCCCTCCTGTCAGGGAGTTGCAGAGCCAGAAGGTCCCCCCTGAGCCTCCTTTTCTCCAGGCTGAGCCTCCCCAGCTTCCTCAGCTGCTCCAGCCCCTTTTCCAGCTCCATTCCCTTCTCTGGACATTCTCCAGCCCTTCAATGTCTCTCTTGCAGTGAGGGCCCAGAACTGGGTGCAGCATTTGAGGTGGTGCCTCAGCAGTGCCCAGCACTGAAATGGCATTAGAGACTCCCCAAATCCCAGTGCCCACAGAAGAGGCAGAGAAAGCACCACTGGGGTCTCTGGTGACTGGATTGTGATCAAGTTGCCAGTTTTGTGACCAAGGGAAGATTAAAAAGTGATGGCAAGATGCCAGTGGCTGCAGCTGAGCCAGACTTTGCAGGGGGTTAAACCTGCTCCTGGGGGTTGGTGGGGGCTCATTGACACAAACACCAACATTACCTCCATTCTCCTCCTGCCAGAACTGGGCATCTGTGTAGAACACGAGGCCAGAGCCTCCTTTCTCCCACTTGAGCTCGATCTCCTCCTCGAAGAGCCGCTCCTCCACACGGCCCTGCTTGGTCACGTCCTCGTGCAGGGCCTCGTGCCGCTCCCACTCCTCACAGGTGTCATTGTCCTGCAGGGGAGGTGGCACAGGGTGGGTGACACCGGCACAGCCCCCTCCCTGCCCCCTGACCCCATCCCAACACCCTCCCTGCGGAACAGCCCCGCTGACAGAGCTGGTCCCAGCCTGCAGCTCTCAGGCCCCGACACGACGGGTGCGGATGAGCTCATTCCTTGACTAATGCCACTTCCAGAGTCAGCACTGAGAAATCCCACACCTCACACCCACTGCAGGGATGCCCATTTAAGGAGCAGGTGTGCTGGACCTGGAGTCAGCACTAAGCAACGAATTAATTCCACTCCAGTTGATTCCTAAGGAGATTGTGTGGGTTTCCCGGGAAGCAGCTCGCTGGCACAGGCACAGGGCAGGCTGACAGCTCCACTGCTGCCTGCCCAGCTCTGGGCACAGCCCTCCCAGGGCAGGAACAGCCAAAAGAACGGCTGGAGATCCAGGAAACAGCCTGTGAGAAACAGCTGGAGGAGTCTGTTTAGTCTGGAGAAGGAAAAGCTGAATAAAAGGAGGGAACAAAGCGCCCTCTGTGCCCGCTGTTGCCAGGAAAAACTAATGGGGTGGAACTGCAGCAAAGATTTGGCATCTGAGTTAGTTCTGGTGGAGGAGAGAACGGGAATGGCTTGCCTGGGGATCTGTAATGACAGAGGTTTGGGAGAACAGGCCAGACAGGCGTCTGCCAGGCAGGGATGGCTCCACAGAGCCTGCCCTGCCCAGGGCTCCAGGAGCCTTTGTCACAAAGGCCATTTTCCTCACAGTGACTAAACTTCAGTCCCAGGAGCATTCGAGGTCAGCCATTTGTGCAGCTCTGCATGTCCTTTTCCAGCACACAAACATGGCCCTGAGCCTCTGGTCACCTCATTTGTAGGCAAAGCAGAGCTGGGCCAATCTGCCAGGGTCTGCTCTGCAGCATCAGCTCCTT